TGTTGTTGTTGTTGTTGTTGTTGTTGTTGTTGTTGTTGTTGTTGTTGTTGTTGTTGTTGTTGTTGTTGTTGTTGTTGTTGTTGTTGTTGTTGTTGGTAGTAGGACCCAGGGAAAACCCGCCCAAGAGGAGACTCGTGAGACGACCGCTGAGGTAAAGCCGAGACAGCCATCCGGGCAAGAGGGCCCAAAGCGCGCTAGCGCAGCGGCGACGGAGGGCGCGCAACTGGCGGTCGGATGAAGGGGCGACGAGGGTCGAGGTCCCCGGGGCGTTGTTGGGGAAGAGAGCGCCGCGGATGGAGCGGAGCAGGACGGGGAGGTGGGATGGGTCGAGCATGCGATTGCGAATCGCGTGCGAGAAAAGCCTATATTGTTTTTTTTTGGGCGCCGGGCGTTGCCGTGCCGCTTTAGGTCAGCCTCGTTCTTCCTTTTTTCTCTCTCTTTATTTTTTCCTCTCTTTTACCCCCTTCATCAATCTTCTTTTCTTTTTTCCCCCCTTCCCTTCCGCCTCGTTATTGTCTCAGCATATCATTTCATTCATGCCGTGCTATTTGCCTCCACCCTCCCCTTCCCCCCCGCTTTTTTTTTTGTCTTCTTTGGGCAGCAATGGACAGGGCCTATGCGTGGGAGGGGGTGGAGAGAAGACATGGAGGGGAGGGGGTAGAGATAACCAAAATGGTGAAGGATGAATGAGGAAAGGAGAGCAAAAGGTACCGCTTGGCAAACGGCAGGGAAGAAGGACAGGGCAGGGCAGGGCAGGGCAGAGCAGCTTTGAGGGTGTGGAGAGAAGACCAGGGTGGTTGCCTTGGAATGGAAATGAAGACAGCCTTTCGCAATGGGAGGAGAGGATGAAGATTCCGGGTCTTTGCGAGGTTGCGAAGGTTGCGACGCGGGGAACTTTCCGAGCGCACAGGCAAGGGGTTGAGCTGTGCGTTGGGAGGGAGACGGAGGATAAAAGTGAAGGTAACCCTGGCCTGGCGCTTAGAAAGATCGTCCTGTTGTGGAGCGTTGTGGAGTTGTTGTGGTCGAGCTTCGTCCGAGACAAAAGGGCAAACACAAGGCCCCCCGGCCCCTTTATCCCGCGATCGATATCTGACAAGCTTCGCGAGCTTGACTCGAGTAAGATCTTGATGGAGGGTGAATACACCCCTCTCCGTCCCTTATCCGTAGACAAGGCCCAAAGCCAGAGGAGGACGGAGGCCGAGATGACCCGATTGCGTTGTGCGACCGCCCTGGTGCCCTGGTTCCTGACCGTCCCGGCTGGTATGGTAGGTGACGGGGAGCCACCTGGGCGCGTAATCGAGGCGTGCTGCTGGATGAGCTAGACCGCATCGCAGAGCAATCGGACGCGAATGTTGCCAATGCGCTCCGTCATTGGCTGGGCGGTTGTCGGCCTTTTTTTCTGAAAGCATTATTGATGTCCCGACGTAGGCGAATCGTTGCGCAGCTTAGCTGTCACCCGAGGAATGTCGAATTTGGACATGTCGGTGTGCGAGCGAGCTGTGGCAGCAATAGGAATGGTGCCAGAACGAGAGAAGAGAGGCTAGGGGGGTTAGGGGGAAGGGGGCGTGGGTGGTCCACGTTACTAGAGCGAGCTCGAAACTGCTCCGGTTGGACCAGTCGAAAAGGGTGAAGGTTCAAAGGCCTGTGACGTCAAAGTCGTCTCTCATCGCTTCGTCGCTTCGTCGCTTCGTCGCTTCGTCGCTTCGTCGCGAGTGGCCCGTTTTCTTGCCCTCCCGCGCTTGCGGCGCAGAGCTGTCTGTCCTGGAAGCTCACTAGAGCAATGAACCACCAACTCATGCGATGTGGTCATGTAAAGACACTAAAAAGGGAGGCGGCTGCTTCATAACATGACAGGACGGAAACTTGGAGAGGCAAACAGAACAGAGACGTCCATCTTACCTATCCAGTGGCCCATCTAGGCCAGCGGGCCGCCAGGGCCCTCTAACAGCGGCGAGCTGAAGCATGGACAACGTCCCGCCTAACCACGGCATCCGCGCATCCAGTTCGACCAAGTCCGAAACACAAGTCCACAGCTTGAACGTCACGACGGGGACCTTCTCAGGCGGCGGCGCGGCAGCCGAAGACGCTCCTCCCTTGGACGCCCGACGTTTCTGGTCCGCCGCTAGGTGAGAGCGGGCCGGCAAAGACGGGGCGCTCGCTAACGCCAGCACGACGACTCGACCCCACGAGAAAGCCAGGAAGAGCCACTGGACAAATGACCAGAATATGGTCTGGGGCGACCGTGTCCGCCGGGACGACTGCTGCTGCTGGTGTTGTGTGTCGGCGAGGTGACGAGGGTCGTTCTTCTGGTCCGTTGTCCCGCCCGACGCCGCCTGCGTTTGTGTTCCCGACGACGCATTCGTTTCCCCCCGCACCTCGGGACCCGTCTTCCCCGAATCCGCACCCTTCTTCCTGCCGAGCACCCTGGTCAGGATAATCAGACACTCCCATATCAGCCAGGGCTGCGACAGCCTGTTGATGAAGACGTTTCCGATGATGAGCTCGGAGAAGATCTCGCCAACCAAGGACGTCAGGCACTCGTTCTCGAGGTCTTCGGTGGGGAGGAGGACGGCGAGGACGCCCTGGACGAGGAGCTGGCGGTAGACCGTCTCGTTTTCTTTCTGCTTGGCGACCGACTGGGGATCGTCGGGCTTGGGGACCGGAGAGAGCGGGGCTATGGGACAGAGCGCGTGGTAGATTTCTCGTGGGTCGGCTTGCGTGGGAGGCCGCGCAACGGGTTCATGGGCTGTACGATAGGCTAGGGCAAAGCCCACGTCAGCTGGAAATAGACACATACATATATAGTACACTCGTGTGCTATGTATGAGGGGAGGAAAACGAACCAATTATGTGCCTGTCGAGCAAGTCGGGAAGCTCGTCAAGCAACAGACTCTCCAAGTCAACCTCCCGTATCCTCTGCTCAAGGGCCCGCGTGCAGTGCGCAACGATGTGGATGATTTCGGTCACAAAAGTCTCGTCGGGGGTGATCTTGCTGTACCATGCCTGCACAAAGTCCCTTAGTATGACGGCAAGCAGGGCGTAGAGCTGGAGGTCGACATCATTCCGGCTCGTGAGGGGCGGTAGGAGTTCTTCGATCGGGGCGGGAGTGCCACCGCCTCTTTCGGCGAGATGCTGCGAGCAGAGGACGCGCCTGATGAAGGCAGAAGTGGCTTTATCTGAAAGGAAGTCGGTGGAGGTGGAGGAAGAGTAAGCGGACGACGGGAGAGGGCGTCCCTGGTAGCGGGACACGGGGGCAGGCGGAGGGGTCGGCGCGGAGACTGGTTTGGGCTTTTGTGGATGTGATATCAGTGCCGGTGCCGGTGCCGGTGCCAGTTCCGGGGCGAATGTCAGTGTGGTCGGGGAGACGGCGGAGGTGGTGGATGAAGGGGAGGGGACCCTGTTGATAGCACCTCGTAGCCGTGGTGTCGGGGCGCGGGATGAGGTAGGTGGTGCCGTTGTCATGGCTAGCTTTTGTTACACCAGTCCGTCCTCATATTCGCGAGTGTCTTGTCTTTCCGGCAGCTTGTTCCGAAGGCGAAAGGCGAAAGGCGAAAGGCGAAAGGGTGAAAAAGGAGGGGATGGATTGGATGGATTCTGTGTTAAATTGGTACGTTGTATCCGCAAGGCTCTGTACTCTTGTCGTTTCGTCCGTCGTCATGTGCATGTACTGTAACTTCGTACTTCAACATACAAGGAGAGATTAAGAGTGGAAGGTGCTTTGCCAGGTGCCAGATGTCATTTGTGGGGACGTCTTCTGGATTGACAGTTGGGAAACGGGACGCTAAGGTACCTTACCTACCTTAGTACCTTAATTTGTCCATCAGATGTCAAGGTACTCGTGCGCAGGCACAAACGTTTAGACATCAAGAGTCGAGTAGTCGAGTAAATCCCAGCCCTCTATGGATCCAGATACAATCGGCCCGTGATATAGTATCCATGCGAAGCATGAAACCGGCACAAGAATACAATACTTTACTTACTATACAACATGGTACAGGCCAAGGTCGCAAGGCAATGTCATGACCTTGGCAAATACAAAGACATGGTCTGCTCTTTTATATAACCCATCGCCAAGGACCTTCTCGCTTACATTGCTTTTCAACTTACTCATCCCTCATAGTCGTCTCGTAGCTGCGCACAACATCACACCTGTTAGCACTCGAGGAATATCCACGCGTCACATGTCGCACAATTCAGGGTAAAGCCGCAACATACCGCTTGCCTCGGAACGCCCAGACGCCCCAGTTGCCGCAGCTGACGTCCTGGGGATCAAGATCGTTAATATCCCACCGCAGGCTCCGGAAGATATTCTCGCCCGGCTCCAGCAGAATGTCAAACTCGCCCCCCGCCTTCTTGCGCACCCACTCAATGTCCCGCTCCATGTCGAACTGCGTGTACCCCGTGGCGATGATGGGCACCTTGGTCTCCAGCAGCTGCGGCAGCGTCTCCTCCCACTCGTGGCTGCTGGCCGGGTGACCCAAGCCCGGGTGGAAGAGGACGAAGCAGTCGAAGTACGGGTCGTACGGCTCGAAGTAGCCGCTCTTGTGGATCGTGTGGTAGTAGTCGACGATCGTGCTGATCTTCATGCGCGACGACACCCGGTCCTCCACGATCATGCCGTACGGGTTCGACGCCGTGCGGGGCGGCAGCGGGAACTCGTCGTCCCGGTTCGCCATGCTCTCCGGGCCGATGAACACGAGGTGGATCCTGCTCTCCGGGAAGAGGTGCGCCAGCTGCACCCAGACGTCGCGCGGCAGGGACGATTCCGCGCGCGCGCCCAGGCAGAAAACGCGGACCGGTGGCGCCGCCAGCCGGAGGTCCTCGACTTCCGTGCCCTTGGCCCCTCGGGGCGGGTGGAGCGTATATCGAAGGGCTACACGTCGTGACGTCAACTGTCAGTTCTACTTCTAGGTCCCAAGGCTGTTCCGGGGTGGAGAGAGCATGAAAAAAATAGATAAATAAATAAAAATAAAAAAGAAGAAGAGAGAAGAAAGGATAATGCAGATGGGTGTAGGAAAACCACGTGTAGATATGCAACTTACCACTCAGACTGCGAATGCCTTCGCTCGTCAACCTGCCGCCTTGCTTCACACTATAAGGGCTGAACTCATGCAGGATGCTGCCAATGGTGATCGGATACGTCAGCAGCTTGGTAACCTGCCGCATGCTCCGCTCGTCGTTGACCGCCTCGAACTCGCGCGTGTACATAAAGGTATCCCAATTGGTCATGTTGACGACCGCCTCGGGCAGCTGATCATCGGCCATGACGAACTCGGGGAACGAACGGCCCGAATGCAAGTCGTGGTCGTCCTCGTTGATCTCGCGGAGCTGGTCGCATATTTCCAGGTGCGACTCGTAGTCGCCCATCCAGTGCTCTTTGCTGCAATACACCGGCACGCCGCAGTCGGGGCATTCAAAGTCAACGTGGGCCGGGGCGAGGTGCCCGCCCTGTCCTTCTCCTGACCCTTCTGACGCCTGCTGCGCGGCGGTCTGCGGCGCGATCGTCGGGACCCGCGTGGTCCGGTGGTGCGGGTGGGGGCAGTAGGCGTGCTGCCTCATGAACGCGGCGCGGCGTCGGATCTGCGGGATCGGGCTGTTGGTGAACGAGTGGAACAGATTGTCGGGTTTCAGCAGCGTTCTCGGGGCCTGTCCGGGATCGTTCCGGGAAGCTGAAGCTGCGGCGGCTTCCCCCTGAGCGGTCGAGGCCGTCGTAAACTTCCTTGCTAACCTATTGCTGTCCCTCGACTGGTGCGGCGCCGTCGTGAAGATGGTTCGGAATCCATGGGCTGACTTCGTTTGAGCGAACCGCTTGACCGGCCGCCCAGGAATTAGCTGCCTCCTCAATGTGACTGAGCATCTCGAGCATATGCCGGAGCTCGTAGCCCTCAGTAGAGGTTCCATTCTGAGACTTGAGGCGTTGCTTGAACGGAGAGGGCGGTGGAATTTCTTGACCCTTTTCCAATCGCCTGATGTTCATGGTGCGAATGGTGCGAATGGGATCAAATGAATTCCGTTTTCCGATCTCTCCGAATCCACCGTCACGTGTGGGATGCTTGTATTGGTCCGTGCATATCCCACAGCGACGTACAGGTACATACGGGAAGCCGTAAGCTACCTAAGGTACCTAAGGTAAGGTACCTTGATAAATACAACGTAATTACCTACAACGTATAACTTCACAAGTTCGACGACCCGGAGTCTGGACAGCAGTTATTACAGCCCTTGGTCTTTCGACTTCTTGTCGATACGGTTGTGGAGGGGAGAGTTAAAAAGAAAGAAGAAGAGGGCAAAAAAAAAAATTGAAGAAGAAATGAACACAATACGGTTGACTGTTGAACATTTGAGCAGCCAATCTGCGACGACGACACGATGATGGTGCTCTACTATGAGAAACTTACGGTCTTTGGAGAAAACAAGACGGAGAGCTCCGGTCCGACGTGGTTCTAGTTGCTTTAAGACGGATCTCTTTTGTGTACGATGTGATGTACTTACTTCATTTGGTTCAAAGCGGCTTTCCTCGGAGTATCAGAAAGTCGGGGAGAAAGAAAACACACCCCTAAATAAATATCAAGACAGAATTCGGCGCTCAACCATTTTCCTCGAGAGGGACCCTAATTAACGTTGGAATTACGTAGATCCTTCGCGAGCTCTCTTTCCCTCAAGGATCGCTCCGATCTCAGCCTGGGCGACAAAAGACCTCATCGCCACCTGAGCAAGGGTAGCAATGATCCCGGGGGTGCCTGTCCTTGGTGCCAGTGGATTCTTTTTTGAAAGTCGAGGTATAAATCACCGTCCCAAAACATCCAGCGTATCGTGGGCTCGAGCTGCGTCCTCCTCCAACGCACCATTACGGCATGCTGTGGACGAACGCTAAGTCTCATTCTCGTCAAAGGCGGTTCGTCCAGCTCCATTCTATTCCCGGAGACTTCGACCCGGAGTTCGGCCAGTGACTCGAGCAGATCTTCATGGCAGAACGACAGTTGATGCGACGCCTCGATGCTGAGGTAGATCTCGGCTATGCCACTTTCCATCAGATAGCCCATAGTTTCCAGTAGAAGCTCGCCTGGGAATCGGCAGAGAGCTTCTCTTACGTTGCGGCGGCGATTGGTGAGCCAGGAGGTTCCCTTTCCTCGCGGGCCAGGGTGAATGGTTTGGTGGCGAGCCCCTTTTCACCTTGCGATCCCATCATTGGAAGAAAGAGGGAGCTGAACAGCGGGAAGAATTGAGTGACTGCAAAGGAGGTGAGAGGGGGTCAAGTAACCTATACGGAGAGCTTCAGAGATGATAGAGAAGCTTGTTAGTATATGTAGGTAGGTAGGTGTGTTTTCTACGTTCAGTAATAACAAGGCTTTGACTCCCCACGTTGTCGTTGCCACGCGCCTCTAAACCTTCCTTCATGTTGGGAGATTGAAAGCTGCTTTGTCATACTTTTACTTCAAATTCCTCCTGCCGGTCCGAATCCGCCTACATTACCTCCAGCGGCATCCGCAACATGACAAGATGAGATGTTGATGGGAGATACCTCGGCTGCTCAATATGATGTACGATTCAAGCAGGCGATCCACCGTCCAGCACTGAATCCGTGAGACTTCTAGGTTCTCGTAGCATGGATCTTGAGTGAAGACATCTCAGCAAGTCCTGACTCCTCGGCCGTTCCAACAGAGGCAATACAAGGGTGTTCAAAGTCTTAAGCACCTTGCCATCATGATGTCTCGAGGAGCCTGTAACCTTGAAAGTACCAGGATGCTGGATTATTTCTCTCAGAGGGTGTATCCTCGAGTTGGAACCTAGGGCGGATAGATGGAATCGATGGATGTTGAATTAACGGGAGCGTGCTTACAGGGAGCGTTGATTCAGGAAATATATGATCGTATTCTGTATAAAAGAGAAAGAAAAAGGGGGCGGGTATACGTGTCCTAAATATATCTGCCACCTTCTAAGCGAGGATAATAGGGCACCTCTAACTAATAGGAGGTCACTATACCGTGGCTCACTGATAGAATATAATATACCCCCTAATTATTACGCTATAATTAGCGGAACGATTACTTAGCCTAACCTTAACTTAGCCTTATTTCCACCCTTAAAATAGCCTTAAAGGGTCGTCTAATACCCTTAATATCGAGTTAAAAGGCAGGAATAAAAGCTATAAAATAATAAAAATAAAAATAATAGTAGTAAATAATAAAGGAAAAGTGCTATTAATAGTAGTAGTAAATAGGTAATAGTAAGGCCTTCCGTAGATAAATTAAAGGCGTTATACCAGCGTTTTAGAGCTTTTGGATCCTCCCTCTTATAACCTCTCGTGCCGTTGTTTTTTCGAGGAATTTTTTAACGATTTTTAAACTAATTTTTCTGATTCTCCTATTAATAGCAATAAAAATAATAATAATAGCGATATAGTGAGTATCGGAGCTTTATTTTTAGTGGCGCGTGCTAACTAGTAGCTTCGTTTTAGGCCCCTCCGACTCTATCTACTATTACCTATACCGCCGCCGCTAAGAAGGCTTCGGCTAATAGTGTGAAGAAGAAAAAGGGTAAGGTGTCGCACGTCAAAAAGGGCACTTGGATGATCAACTTAGTAGAGCAGAAATCTCGTGTGTGTATTGTGTTAAGTTATATCTATAAGAGTCTCTTATACCCTTAATTGGGGTAGTGAAGACTCTGTTATGGGTACTATATTATCTAGATCCTATCCGGTCTTTTCCGGTATCCGCCCCTTTTATATCCTAATACCCGAGGTCCCCGATATCCGAAGCCCTTAGTTATAGCATAGATCCCCCCTAGATCCCCTATAGACCACGTTATGGTCCGTGCGCCCATACAACACACCCTCTTAGTTAAGGTGGGTCTTCTCAGGTCAACTAACTAATTAGAGGCTTCGGTTTAAACTAAACGCTCTTAACTTTTCTATCGTAAAATCAACAGTTAAGGGAAAAACGCCCTTATAAAAGGGATCTAAATCCGCCCTATTTGACTGTTTAATTTAATTCTATCTTAATTAGTTCCTTAATCCTGATTAGCTGGATCTGCTTAATTGGATCCATATCTATCGGATCTGCTATACCCTCGGGGGCCTTCGTAGTCGCTACGGCTTTAGCGCGTTTAATCTCTTCGTGTAGTTACTTCGACTACTCGATACGATCCTTTTAATCCGTTAAATTAAGCTATTACTATAGTCTTTTAATCCCTGCCTCCGGTAGTGCCTTCGTTAAACCGTCCGCGATTATCTCCTTCGTGTTAATATACGTGACCTTAAAGAGGCCCTGCTATACTAACTAACGTGCCTACTAGTTATAGATATCGACGTGCCGTAGCCTTATTCGTAGGCGTTATGCCTTCTTATTAACGAGGTTAATAGTCTGCTGATTATTATAGTGTAGCTGTAGTTACTATTAGTCTCACCGAAGCTCTAAATCCCTTAATATCCGGCTAACGAATAACGTCTTCTTAGCGGCCTTTATAAGAGCGAGTAGTTCCGATTCTGTTAACGACGTCGTCACTATTAGTTGCTTACCCGCCTTCCAGTTAACGGTTCCCCCGAAGAGCTTTATCGTATATCCCTGTGAATTCTTACGGTCTAGGTTATCCCTAAAGGACGCGTCGCTTATTATTAAGAAGAGCCTATCCCCGCCGAATTCTAAGTAGTAGTGTCTTATATAATATAGGAATAGCAGTACTTATTAAGCCCTTTTAAGGTGGTTAGAGGAGGGGTTAACGTTATATTAGGAAAGCTTCGAATAGGCGAACGCGATATCGGGTCTCGTCATAATAGCGGTATACAGGATAGAACCAATTATACCCTAGTACTAGCGGACCTTAGAAATTAACGCGTGTGTGCTATCGCGGGGTATTAGCGGCTTTATCGTTAATAATAGGACCTTTAGTGGTTTTCGGCAGAGTATATCTACGTAGTATTTAACCGCGATCTTCTCTATATAGGAGGATTATAATAGCTATAATCTACGGGTGGCTTTATCCCTTAGGACCTTAATTCCCAGGAACCAGCGGATTTCCTCGCCCCCCGATAACCTATAGCTCCGCTTAAGGGTAGTCTTAAGGTCGTCGGCGTCGGTCGTGCAATCTCTATAGTAGATAAGTCCGATATCGTTAACGTAAAAGAATAGGATTAAACCGTCGCGGATTATAATACAGGGGTTATTAGGTACGGCCGTGAATCCTATCTTCTATAGCGTGCCGCTAAATTCCTCTTACTATGGTAATAGCGATACCCTTAAGCCGAAGAGGGCTTTTCGTAGTAGTAGTACCTTACTTGGCACTTTATAGCCTTACGGTATCTTTATAAATACCTTTTCTTTAAGGCTAGCGTTAACGAACGCGTTAACGGCGTCGAACTGCCTTATCTCTAGGTTAAATCAGGCGCCGATCGCTATTAGTATACGGAAGGACCGTGAGGCTAGCGTTACGGCGTAGTTATCTTTAGTCTCTAACCGTTTTTATTAATCCACTTAGACTACGAGGCGTACCTTATACTTAAGGAGAGTGCCCTCCTTATTAAATTTATAGGTGTATACCTATTTACAGACGAGGACTTATTGCTTATTAGCCTGATTACCACCCACCTCCTACTAGTAGCCTATCTATCAGTGCCCCTTAAGGTGTTCCCCCTCGGCCTATAACCACCGCTCCCGTAACGGATAAAGGCGTATATCGTAGTAATAGTTTAGTGGAGGCGGGAGATCCTCGCGGGTTACGTACGATAGCGATAGCGGCTAGGAGGTATAAAGGGAATCTATAGCACTAATATTATCGTTATTAATAGCTTACTTTCTCGTGCGTATAGGGTTATAAGTCCTGCTAGCATTAAAAAACGCCTTTTAGGCGTTATCGTTCTAAACCTTCTCGGTCGTGTATAGACTTACGATAGTTCTCGCGATAGATAGGCGCGCGGGTAATAGGCGCGCGGCCGATAGGAGTATAGCTAACAGGCACCCCTTAGGGGCACCTATAGCTATCC